AGGGAGGGGGCCGCTATAGCGCAATATAGGTTCAGTGACGCTTTTTTTTCTCCAGTGACTCCACCTCCAGACGGCGGCCCTAGACCTTCAGGGCCCTCCTTTTGGTAAAAAACGAATCTGCAGAATGAAAAAGCAGAAAATCGTTACTTGTACAGTCGTAGAGTACTTATTGGGGAATTACCTGCGCACATGAGGGCATGGTGTTGAAGATGGAGTTAGTTGGGTTCGTACAAACTGGGATCGATATGGGGGCTACCTAGGGCAATTAGCATGCTCTTTTCTTTTTTTCTTCACTGTCGAGTCACTCAGAACCTTGTAGTCTATATGCGAAATTCCTAATCCACTATCTTTGATGGTGAATGATCGCAGGCTTCGCCTTTTGAAAGTTCAAAGGAGGACTTCAAAAAACTGCTGTAAGAAAGGAATTGCGGTTGCTATCGGCAGAATTACTTAGAGCACGATGAAAAACCCTCTTGTTCTGCGATTCTTCTTGTCGAAAGTGTCGCAAAGTATGAGCGCTAATTCGGCGCCTATTGCCGCTGAGGTGCACTGCGCGAAAAGAGACGAGCCCTTTGAATGTAGGGACAAAATTTAACCGACTAATCCTTATCTGGGACAGGCCTACTTGCTCATCAGGGAAAGGCCTGCTACATCTTTGTCACATGCTAAGAATGACCTAGGTAAAGTAAGTAGCCCGCACCCCATTTGTTACGAGGAAATGGAAGGAAGTAAAAATGGCGAGGCCTATCGAAATAATCCCCTGCAATGTGCTTGATGACGACATTCGTGGATAAGATGTAGGTCTGCACCAAGGAAAGCGGATAGTTTTCACAACAGAGGAGTTGGAATTCCAGGCGCTAAAACACCCACCATGTACTCCAGGCCTGGCTCCAGGTGTTTTTGAGAATTGGGCCTTCAAAGAATCACTACGGGAGCAAGAGGCGTAGCCGATGAAAACGTAGTTGTTACTGTGCAAGATTAGTTACTGATGCAACTGAAAATCGTTTCTAAATGGAATCGAAAACCTGTGAAACATGGGAGAATGTGCATTGAATTCCTGTCAGGCTACTAGAGCAGTAAGATATGTTTTACCACTCTTTCCGTAGAACGCCCCTTCTCAATTCCTTTCCTTTTGTCTTCATCTCATTCATGCTACTTTACGAGTCGAATTTTTGGGAAGAAGTGAGGACTTTCCATTATGTTACTGACAAAGCTTTTGTCACTGTTGAAAAGTGGATAGTCGGTAGATAGCGCTTAAGTGGCGCCTAAGGATATCCACTTGACCCGTCACAACTCACAAGTGGCTGCGTCGAGATTTAATTATCGACCCATTATTAGTCGATATCACTCTATACTATGGTCTTTTTCAGAGCGAAAAGCAAGCAGCGGCAACGTTAGTTCTTTTCTTCTTTTTCTAAAAGTCTACAGTATTTCGAAGATGTGGAATTTGCAGCTGAATTCACGTTATTCGGATGTTTTCATGGACTCCTCAATAGCATCTTGAGATTTTTCTGCTTCCGACGTCCCAACAGGAGCTCTTGCACTGCCTCCAAAGAGAGCACCGTTCGTCCTAGTATGCAAGTAGGTGTCATTTCCTACAAACTATTTCTTGTTTCATATCCTATCTGATCCTCTTCATTTCTCAACTTTTCCCTTGAAACTTTGACTTGGCCCATATATAATAGTTTTTTTTCTGGTTTTTATCGTGTCCGATGCCACTTGACGAAACGATTTTCGCCATCACAAATAGTGCGCTTACCACTAGATTCCTACGACAGCTTTATTTCTAACCTTTCTTTTTCGTCTTCTGCTCCACCGACTTGTTTGTACTCCACACCAAAAGGAGAGGCTCCATCTACTGTTTTCTTGCAACCTGGGCAGATAAACGGCAATTTTCGCTAGACTTCTGTGTGCGCTTCTAGGAAGGGGTGCAACTTTTATTGAAGCGACCTAAAGGCCAGTTTTTTCGCCTTTTGGAGGGAAGATCCGCTCCACCGCAAAATGGGTAGGACACGCCGTTGAGATAGGTGCACCTGCAGGTTTCATTTCGAAATGGCACACGGGAAAATGGTGGGATTCGGTTTCAGTGGAATATTTCCATTTTAGACAACTGTGATTCGGCCTTACGCTGGACAAGGACAGGATTACGATTGCCCCAAAAGGGCAGTATCCTGTCGATAACACAGCCGCCGCCACGTTTAAATGAACCACCCTTCTTATATCCAGGATATGGAGAATAGAGTGAGGAAGCACAAGCGCTTGCTCTTTACCAAAGCTCAAATGTGGTACTGGACTTTCTTCATCAGGGAGTGGCACTCTACAGACTTCCGACAAGGGTGATACGGCCCAAACACTCATCCATTCAAAGCGTAGCTGCGAAAGATCCGAATGAAAGAGATGCGCCCTCTTATCCCGGAGTTGGAGAGAGCGTGGCTGCGTTTTTCTTACGAACTTGGCGAAACGAGCACTTCAACCCCATCTGCTTTCCATTTCTTGACATCCGATACTTCTACCTGGAACAACTGTCATCCTGTCTTCGCTGCACAAAGACATAACAATCATCCCGAGACGGCAATATCCCACCGAAAGCGCAACTGCCAGTACGATCGAGTATGCAGCCACGTCCTCTCCATCCCAGGGATGAGTATTGTATGATGCATGAGAGGCAGCACTGAATTACTTCCCCGCAACACTCCTCACAGCCCTGCGATATGCCCTGTAACTATACTGGAGTGGCGCATCATCTCCCATTTTCAGCTCTCCTAAAAGCTTCATGGCTCTAGTATATAGAGATTATTGCTGGTACCATAGTTTCCATGTTTCCACACTTCCAGAAACCACTATTTTCATCTTCAGAACGACGTTTGGCGAGACAACGGAAGATCTCTTCGGCTTCCATACCGCCATCTCCTTCTGCAACTGCTGCTAGTTAGCAGTAGAGGGACGGTTCTTCATCGTGCTATACCGACTTCAACGTTCGCCAGGCAAAATATCAGTAATCTTCGTTTCTTCTGATGTTGATTATATTGCAGTTATTGTTGTTGAAATATTGTACAAAAAGGCAAGAATGTGAATGTCATTGCTTAGTGGACTTCGAAAAGCTTTATTATATACTTATATGTACACTATGTGTCTTTTTTGTTATTGATTGGTGACAACTAAAGACATAATCACAGAAAGCAGGGTCAAAGCAGATGCTGCTTTCATTGGAGATACCTGTAAGGGACGAAATTAGTAACGATAAACTTTCGGAAATGCTATGTGTTCTCACGTCGGGCTGTGGATTTGTGTGAGCCTTGGAAGTGTAGTTGACTCCGGTTGAACCGGGAAACATGAAGTTCGTGATCATTTGTACTGATGGGCAGCGTCTTGTCGTTTGGTACCATATGTCCAGCACCCTGAATTTATAGATGGTGCCTTGACAGGCAGGATTTTCTATAAAGAACAAAATATGGGTTGCATTAGAACAGAAGGGACCTTGACAGTTAGGACATCGATGGATATGCCGATTCCTTGGCCTCCTTGACCTGAGTAGCGCTGTGCGAAACCAGCCAGTTGGTTGTTTTCGCTGAAGAACCAGGGGATTCGGTCTCCCGGCTGAAAGTATTCTTTCAGGTGACATAGTCCCTTCAGCATGTTCTTCGAAAGCCACGATTCGAAACTCACCGTTAAATTGTTTTCCTTTGCTACATCTCTTATGAACCACGAATCTCCGAGGTAATTACAAGCTGTGTCTACGTCTCCATTGTAGATCAAGAACCGAAAGTTTGGCGTCTAAAAGCGGTAAATTAAAAAAATACAATACAAAAGAGCAAACATTAGCCAAAGGTATCCTTATAAGGTCCTCTATCAGCTACTCCATACGCACCGAACGTCCACTACGCACGCTCCGCTCACAAATGGACAAGCCGCTACCTTGTGCTCGTATTTGCCGTTCAATTGCACAGTAAAATATAAAGAAAACCAAAGGATGATACTGAGAGGGCCGCGGTACTGCAGGGATATAGATGCGGAAAGGTGCCGTAGCCGTATGTATCGTCACGCATGTCTACGGAATCGTCCAAATCAGCTTTTGCACCCACTTAAGAAAAGAAGCGGCTTTTTTTCGCATGCTTTTGCCCGATCTCCACTTCGGTTGTTTTCGCCATTTTACTCCTCTATATAGGGCCCTCTATGTTTCATGCGATACCAATTAGTGTCAACTGCCTTCAACAGCTAACATAAGGCACATAATAGCTTTGAAGAGGATAAAAGTATTTGATAGGTTCTGCGCCCATTTTTTTTACTCGCGGTCCAGCTGTCACGCCATACTAAAAGCCCGACTTGGTGGTCGCGTGGTGTCACGGGCGGGCATTTTGTACTATCATTGCTTCCTCAGTTCCAGTTTACATGTCTTACACTGGCGAAACCTGTGAACACTTGTGCAGCTGGAACAAGGTAGTCAAGTCATCTTGTTAAAACCTGTCAACTCGAGAAGAGGCTGTCTAGACAGGCCGACACGTCGTTGGGAGGTAGCAAAAGTGCAAAATGCCCCCTCGTCGACCAAACTGCGCCGCCCGACTTATTATTAATTACACTATCCCTTCTTGTCCCAGGCATTGTAATGACATTAACACATGGGCTCGCAGTAATAGGTAGCAGGATGGTTGAACTCTTAGGGTTTTCTGCGTTGGTCAAGCTTATTGGGATACGCTACGCATTCAGCTCCGATGAGTTTCAGCTTATACTAATAGGCCTTTGCGAGCACAGGTGATGTTCTCGCCATTTTTATTCTATTGTGCCAAATTAGCTATTTACCAATAGCAACTATTAAGGTTGTCGCATAAGTTCTTATACACGACTTTTTTGTTGTTAAATATCTCTAAAAAAACGAACCAAGCTTGGAAGATTAGAATATGCCACCATCACCATCACTACTCGAACGCCAGCGCTAAAAGGCAGGGGCTGTCGATTCCATCTTCCAGAACGACGGAGGCTGGGACTTGAAGAAGTCGTCGAGCGCCTTTCTGACCTGATCCTTTGTTTCGAACTTTTTTCCGTCCAGATAGCGCTGCAGGTGGCTGAACAGCCAGTAGTCAGAAGGAGCGAGGTCAGGGCTGTAGGGAGGGTGGGCGACCATCAGCCATCCGTACTTCTCCAGCTCGGCCTGGGTCGCCTTTGCAGTGTGAGGTCGGGCGTTGTCATGGTGGAAGTAGATTTCCGCATTCCTTCCACGAGTACGGTCGACGTGATCTTTCAATTTCCGCAGCTGGGTCACGTATGTGGAAGCGTCAATCGTCTGTCCCTTCTCCAGCAGCTCCCAGTACTCCATGCCTCTTCTGGACCACCAACAGGACAGGAGAACCTTTTTGGGGTGAAGGTCGGCCTTTGGCACAGTGGCTTCTGGCTGTTCTCCTTGTCGACCTACTGCCGCTTCCTCACAGGGTTATCGTAGAGGACCCACTTCCCATCTCCAAGGAACTACTTTCAAATCCAACTCCGACCCGACCTCGGAGCATCTTCGAGAGAAAAGTCTCCTTTCTTGAATTTGGCGAACCAATTCTTGCATGTCATGTAAGAGATGACGTCCTCACCGTATGTATCCACCAGCTTGGTATGGGCTTCCTTTGCATTCCAGCCGAAATCGTGGAGCAAAACCAAACAGTGGCGCAGGTACGTTTTGTCACAGTGCAAATTGTGCGACATTGTGTACTGCAAATGCAAGCTCGGTGAGTGATAGCTAGTGTAATGAAAGAGTATAATGTACACGTCAGGCACACGTGATGAACATCCATGCGAACGAAATAGGAGAGGATCAAACACGTGTATAAGAACTTATTATGCGACAACCTAATAATTCGTGACTTATCAGAATAAAAATAGTCAAACTTCATAGCAAAGGCTTATAAACAATGACTTTAAACAGCCTAGTGTGATGATTCTTACAAATGAGTCTGCCACCGATTGACCCTTCATGGTGGAAGGTTAAGCTGGCTCAGGGGGGGGGAGCTGCTCAGAAAGTCGACCTCAGATTTCGTGTAATCTACGCCAGTTGTCACTAATCCATCTCTGCATGAGCATAATTAGATGGAAACTTACCCTTACGTTCTGCACAACATATTGGAAGAACTCGTTTGTTGTATTGTATGTGATTTGGTATTGGTCGTAAAGCGCATCGCTGGAAAAAGTTAAAACGGCTAGAGGAAAGATGAGATCCAGTTTTCCAGGTTTGAGCATGGTAGACGAGCGACATTTCTTGAAAAGAAAGATGATAACCCCAAAATACGCAGTCTTGTTCGCTGCAGATGAAGTCGGCGGGTAGAGAGGCTAGGTTTGCCGCAGCGCCAGTCCGTTCTCCGCCAGTTGTTGAAGCGGGTAAGCGACAACTAGTGATGGACAACTGATACGAATAAACTGATTCAGTATTGTCGCTTGCCGAAAGGTGAAAGGACAAGAAACGGGCTGGTGTCGTGCCAAACCCACACTCCTCCCATGACACGCCCAGTCGTCCGCAGCGAACAATGGCTGTACACTTGTTGGACCTTTACGACGAATTCACGTTCTACACAAGTTTCAAAGTCACACACTGAAACATCTTTCTTTGGACTAACCTAGCACAAAATTTCTAGCAATCTGAAACGGCTTTTGAGTAAATCAAAGAGCTGGGAAGTGAAAAGTACGTACTTGCAATCGCTCCATTTGTATTGCCCTCCTTGTTGCTTCCTCCAGCCGTCCGGAATATGCAACGCGTCCTGGAATTTGATCTTTAACTGTTTACATAACGGTTCAATCACAGAAAAAGATGTTTCGGTTCAAAATCAACGCATGATACTGCAGATATATAGTACTTTTCATTAGGAAATCTGACAATTTGCAATATTACCAGGTAATTCGTCCGAAAATAATCGAAGACATGCCTTACAGTCGGATTAGTGGAGCACATTAGCTGCAATCTCATCCGGGCAGTTGATTGGGCGGCCTGGTCGCGACGCTGCTGCGGCTCGTCACGACAGCGGCGATCAACTGTTTCCAGCCCCTTTGGCCGTTTTCTCTTGTTTCACTGCCATTTTCTATTTTTTTTTCCAGGTGAGTATGTGGCTTATTGCCTTTATGATGTGGTATTTACGTGCAATCTGTCTTTTTTTTGCTTTCGTACAAAAGGCTTTTCCGTGATTTTTTAGGTATTTGTTCAATTGTTCGCAATTATTAGAGAAATCTCAATCATAATTTACCTTGTGAAGACAAGGAACAACTAACCTCAAGAAAAGCAGCCAAAAACAGTGGAAAATTAGAGGGAAAACGGCTAAATAGGCTGGAAATAGCTTGATTCCGACTGCCGTCGTGAAGCGCCCACAGCCGGCGTCCGCGACCGCCCAGCGCAATTATGATTCCTTGGCTTGCCTAATCAATGTGCCGGATAAGACTATACGTCTGCAGGTCTCGCCTCAACGCCACGTCACTTTTATAGTACACTGTCGTGTGCAAAACTTAGGGATCGAGATTGGATAAGAACATAAAACACTAATGACTGCCGGGGATGAAGTCAGTTAAATGAAAGTGTGGGAGCATGTTGCCACTCGCCTAAGGGATATGCACAGGAAGCTAGACTTTTCTCGGTGGAAGAAGAGCTTGAATAAAGTGCCAAATATGGCCGACCGCGCAAATCGAGGCAGTCTATGGGTATAAAAAAATTTTTTTCTCAATCAACGAGTAGCTGCAAAGAACTGTGGTAGTATCCTTCGATACATCATGTCCCGAAGAGAGCATCTGGATGACTTCACTCGAGGAAGGATCATAGGGAAACTCGAAGAAGGTCGAACCATGACGAGTGTAGCCCAGGAGTTCGGTATCGCTCACAGCGTTGTTTCACGTGCATGGAGAGCGTTCCGAACCTTTGGGTACTGCTGCCCGAAGACGAGGAGGTGGCCGACCAAGGACAACTACACCAAGGGACGACCGCTACATTGTGCAGCAGGCAAGAAGAGATCCTCGTCAGTCGGCTTCGGCTATTGCAACGACGTTTAACAGGACTCTAGGGCAAGCCATCTCACGCACTACAGTGGCAAGACGGTGGTGGTCTCTTCGCCCGACGACCGTTACGCTTGCGGTTCGCTTTTGACATCGCGCATCGGCCGAGATCCTTACGGTGGTGCCAGGAGCATGGCGAATGGGCCGATGAGGAATGGAGCCGTGTGCTCTTTTCGGATGAGAGCAGGTTCAGTCTGAGCAGTGATTCTGGACGCGACCCCTCTCAATATGGCGAGTGTGGCGAACACGCATCTCCTCCCAGGAACATTGTCGAATTGTGATCTACTGGTGGTCACGTTGTTATTTATGGGGAGGCATCATGTTGCATGGCCGTACTGACCTCCAGATTTTTGAGCATGGAACCCTCACCAGTCAGCGTTACTGCGACGAGGTTCTCCTACATCATGTCCGTCTTTTCAGAGCTGCAATCGGCCCTGACTTCATTTTCATGGATGACAATGCGCGACCGCATCGAACAGCACAGGTGGAGGAGCTTCTAGAACGAGAGGATATCCGAATGGAGTGGCCCGCCCGTTCCCCCGACCTAAATCCCATCGAGCACGTGTGGGATGCACTGGGTAGACGCATTGCCAGGCACGACCAGCAGTTGTCAAATGCACTGATTGAGGAGTGGAATGCCCTGCCCCAGGAACTCATTACCAACCTCGTGGAGAGTATGGGATCGCGGTGCAGAGCATGTATTGCTGTCCGTGGTGATCACACACCCTATTAGGATCCGTGTACTTCTTTTGTACAGTACAGGGAAAATCATCCAAGACTTATGTGTAAATCGACATCGACGATGGATAAAAATGGTCAAATCTACATGATCTGAATTTCATAGCAGCTATCGTTGTCTGCAGAGGCCACAGTGATCGAAAGTTCGTCCCTAAGTTTTACACAGCGCTGCTAAATAGGACCTGTTCTGCTGACTATTCTTTTGCACATTTTGCTAGTTCGCGCGTTTCGCGCACACTAAAATGGAAAGACTCAATATACGGCCCACAGGAACGGGGACCCTGCCCATTTTTAGGAGTGTTTTTTCGGAGCTTCTTCCAGTTTTTTTTTTTCACGCCATTCGTCCACAAAGGCGATGTCTCTGGATAGGCATCTATGCATTGGCCACAACTGAGCTCGCTTTTAGTCACACCACTCCGGGTCTTGCAAAATTTTGATATTTTCAATATTTTCTCTTTTTTAGGACTGCCAAGAAGTTACAATCCTCATCACTGCGGGACCGGTGAGGCGGTGCCAGTCGTGGCTGCGGTTTGGACCGCAAAGTCGTTCTGCACCAGTTGTTGAAGCGGGCAAGTGACATTACTGTATTATATCCTTCGTATTACTCGTTTTCTACCACTTTTTGTCGCATACGCGTTTCAACAAAAAGGCTGAGAACGGCTTCAACAGTCACACTCCTACTCCTGACACTTTCTGGGTGTTTTCGGCCATCTCATTCCGTTGTAGCTCCACTGCAGCACGAAGTGGTGCCTCTACTTCTGTTTTGTGTAGGGAAATCAATTTGCACCCACTGCCTTTATCGACTAATCCCAAGTGCCTCTAGGGTAGAGCCCCATAAAGCAGCCAAACGGTGCGTCATTTCATGTCTTCTTCAGGAATAACAGCAAACGTCATGTGATGCGTTCGAAGCCGCACAAAAGTCGGAGGATCAACATATGCATCTATTCTCGCAACACGGCCAAGGCATAATCATTGGTTGATTCATCCCAACCCGACATATCCGCGAGGTTTACCCAGCTATAAGGAACGCCTCAAGCTTTTCAACCTTAAGTCATTACTATATAGACGAGTGTTCAATGATATTTTGTTCTGCTTTAAGTTACTGAAAGGAGATTTAAGATTGACGCCCAGTAAGTATTGGACTTTTAGACCAAGTGTAGGAACGTATTCTTCACTGTCATTACAATGTCCTAACTTAGGCAGGACTCAGCGATCCAAAGTTTTCAATTCACTTTTTTTCCGTGGAGCAAGGTGGCTTCAGTCGCTGCCATCAGAGCTGCAGAAGGCGTCAAGTACCTTGGTTTTCAAGAGGAAACTAAGGAAAAGTTGACAT